TGCAGACAGCTCCAACAGTGCCCATCCTGGCCAGGGCCTCTTTCCTCACCTTCCTAGGCCCTCAATGAGACCTGTGTGGTTGTTCTGCCTCATGTTCTTCCCTTCCTTGAGGGACACGGGTGGCCTCAGGGCCAGGCCAGGGGCTCATGACATCCCGTGAACATTCCATTATGGTCAGCTGGGTGCTGGCCTGCTGCTGCAGGTGTCCGTGAGGTGGATGTCAGTCTCTTGCTGGCAGTTGCTAAAGTGCCAGAGTGCTCAGACCTCTGCCCAGCTGTGTGCTTCACTCTCTTACCCCTTGGTGTTCTCCCAGCCCTGGGTGGACGTGCCCGCTCTGTCTAGCTGATCAGCCCGTGCCCGTGAGCCACCTTTGTCCTGGACCTTGTCCAGGTGCTCTGGGCAAGGAGGACAGACATGTATGTTTCTCGTTTTGAGGGCTCTACAGAAGATGGCTTGAGAGGAGCATGGGGCTGTTGTGTGGCGGGGAGTGGACGGTACCATTGTGGAGCCATCAGGTAGGTAGAAGTTGCCAGTGAGGGCAGGATGAGAGTATGTCCCATCCTTTCCCTCCCAACCTGTAGACAGGTCATCTGAGCTGTTGGCTGTCCCACTCTCCCCCATCCTCTGTGTGCTTTCCTCTGAACCCTGTGCCCCCTGGGTCCCCAGGCCACCAAGCCCTCAGTTTAGCCCACTTATTTTCCTTGCCAAAGTGATTAAGTGATCAGGATTTCCATTGATCATAGCCAGACGGAGCAGGATTGGAATTATTCCCTAGGGCCTGCCAGAGCTGCTGTTTGCACTCCATCCCCCCAGAGAAAACACGGACTCTGCCTGGCTTTTCCTCACTGTCTCCTGTGTAGTCAGTCACCTCCCTGAGTCAGGGTATCTCTGAGATATGATCCATGAGTTTCTCCAGCACCCCTCCTTTTTCTCCCCTGTGCAGTGTTGGTTCCTTCTGTGCATAGTTAGAGGATTAGCCCTCTGAACATTGTCAGTCTTTAAAAGAAAGCCACCTTCTCCATTTAGTCTTCTTCTGGATTTTGTTGTTCTGGCTTTTGTGTGTGTGTGTGTGTGTGTGTGTGTGTGTGCACAGTACTGGGGTTTGAACTCAGGGCTGCTTGCTAGGCAGGCCCTCTACCATTTTTCAGATAGGGTCTTGCACTTTTCCCCAGCCAGTCTCAAATCAGAATCCTACTTCTGTTGCCTACATAGCTGGGATTATATGTATGTACCACGATGCCCAACTTGTTCTTTGAGATAGGGTCTTGCTAACATTTTGACTGGGCTGGCCTCGGGCCAAGATCCTTTTGTCTTCACCTCCCAAGTTACTGGAATTACAGTCATGCAGTTGTGGTGCTGGTAATGGAAGCCAAGGCAAGTGCTCTATTCAGAACCACACCCCAGCCTTTATTATTACTTACAGGCCAACTGTGTGCTGGGAGTCATGTGCTCTGGGATAAAGAATCATCTCCTTATCAGGCTTGCTTACTTCCCAGGTGCCTGATTCACAGGTGACAAAACAGTAAACAGAGTCCGTGCCAGGAAGATCACAAGTGAGTGGGCTCAGGTGGGGGTGTGAGAGTGGAGCGTGCACAGCCACCCACAACTGCTGCATTGATGTCCTAAAGGTCAGAAGGTAGTGTCATGAAAATGCGAGGACCAAGGCCTCTTCCACAGCCCCTTCTCAGCCCTGGTTCCCACTGGTGCCCTCGTCTCCCTGTGCTTGAGGACAGGACAAGGCACAGCAACCTGGGAGGCTCAGTAGCCATGGCTGGTGGACAGGCTGCGGGCAGAGGGTTAGAGTTTATTCCCTCTTGGAGCTTGCCCTGTGTTTGTCCCCACAGTGGACCAAGGGCATGGGCACAGTTTTCACAGTGGCAGCCCTCTAGGTTCATGTGCTGGCCCAGACTCCACTGCTAGGGCTCTAGGTGGGTCCTGCAGGAGTGTAGGTACAGTCAACCCCACCCACCCACCCTCACTGACCCAGAAGAAGCTGCAGAGAAGGTTCCTCATGCTAGCCCTGTCAGGACCCCAGGTTACACTCAGGATGGTGGAGTGTCCTTTGGAGGGAGGTGCCACAGTTTGGTCCTCGGTTTCCACTCCTGAGGGGAGGATGCCAGCGAGACGTATTTACCAGGGTGGGCTCAGCAGCTAGGCCTCATTGCTGCTGCCGAGTCTGAGACTGTCCTGGAGGACCTCCAAGGCAGCACCCCCACTGGCCAGAGGCACTTCCTTTAACCATGTGTGGCCCTCCCACTCTGCTATGGACACTGCAGGTCAGGTGCCCGCAGGAGCTCCCACTCGAGTGTGAGCACCATCTCTCCTTTGCTACGGGGGCTGTGGTTGGCATCCACAAAGTGCATCTTTGCTTCTCCCATTTTCCTGTTTGCCTTGCCCTCCCTTTGTCCATCTGTTCCAGTCCCCAGCCTGTGGTCATAGGGAGAAGGGACTTCTCCATCAGTGTACCTCACCTGTGCCTGGCCTGAGGAACAGGCCCAGCTGGACAGAGTCAGGGCACAGCCTACTGAGTGCCTGAGAGGAATAGCCTACAGGGTAGCCAGAGGAACATAAAGGTTGGGAAGGCACTGTTGGGGGACTTGGGAAGGCTGAGTCCCAGGTCTTCAGGTGAAGTGCGGGCAGGGCTGAGGCCAAGAGTCATGGGACCCATAAGAGGACCCTGGTGTGTCCTTGCTGCTGCTTGTTTGTCCTGCACTGCCCTGAGCAGGCCACTCTGCCCAGGTGCACTCCTCACAGAGGTTGTGGTTTTGCACCCCACTAGCTTCACTTCTCTCCATTTACCAGAAGAGCCTGTCCCACATCAGGCGTCCTGGCTGTGAGGACTTCCTGTTGTACCTAACTAAAAGAAGTGAAACCATCCCATGAAGCAAAGTAGACGCCCAGAAACACCTCAGGAGGCTGGGGTCTTCTCCTCCTTCGTTAGAGCAGGGAAGTCATGTCCCTGCTCATGAAGGGTCAAACAGCTGTGCACAGCCCAGGTGACCACAGGGCCCCCACCCCTTCCTTCCTGCCTCTCCCCAGTCTCCCAGTGGGTGTATACAAGGGGATTTGTAAGAGGCTCAGAGGCAGAGGCATAGCCAAGTTGAGAGCCACCCGGAAGCAGTCTTCTTGAGAGGAGTGGCCGCAGCAGGCTGGAGAAGGCTGCCTTTGCAGAGTGTGAGGAGCAGGGTGCTGTGGTCTCACAGGTTGTCAGGCCCCGGTGGACTTTGAGGATGCTGCCAATGCAGGGTGCCTATGCAGCCTTCCCGCTTCCTTTCTGTCATTTCCTCCTGAGCTGTTGTCGGGCCCTGTGAGGCCCTCACTGTCCCAACCTGTGTGTGGAGCCAGACTGCATTGCTGGGCTTCCACAGAGCAGCACAGGGGGTGCCACAAGGAGACTGGCAGAGCCCCTGCCCACATCTTGCCACAGCTCAGTCGGGACACTAGTAGGTGCCACTCAGACCCAGGGTGCCCGGTCACATAGTCAACATGGTTAGACCTAAGGCATTCAGTGTCTGATTATTTCAGTCATGGCACGCATCCTTTTAGTTGCCCATAGAGAGCCATAGAGAACATGGCCAAACGCGCTGCGGGCACCAGAGCCAGGGGTCTCAGAAGGCCCTCCCTCTCAGAGCCTTCACATCAGGTGGAACAGTCTTGCACTCTACTCTACTCCAACCCAAATCCTGGGAAGAATCCCGACACTCAGAAAGGCTCTGATAAGTCCTGCAACAAGCAGGCTTTTTCAACTGGTACAAAGCAGTTCCCATACCCTATCAGTCCTGGGGCTCCTGTATGCTCAGAGCCAGAGGGTGCTCCTGGGAAGTGTGGGGCCACACAGGCTCCAAGACTCCTTCTTGGAGAGGCCAGATCTTGTGGCAGGGAAAGTCAGGGCCAGTGAGCCTATCCACAGCCCAAGGCTGGATACACTTCATCATTTCCAGCCAGCTCAGCCTGCTGGCATGCTGCGCTCCTCCTCAGCCCTTTGACCCCAGCTGCAGTGCAACCCTTCATGCACAGGGGGTGGCAGGCAATCTCAGAGAAGGCCTCTCTGTCCCCACTGCTGGGCCAAGTACCAGACCCATTGCAACCCAGGCAGATGTTTTTGTTTGCTCCACTTCCTGGAATAGGGCCTGTGTGGGTGTGTCTGGCCTTGGTTGCTGGCCGTGCTTCCTCTAGTTGGCCTCTGTTAAGAGGAGGGTCAGCAGTCAGGGTGGCCCAGACTTGTCCCCAACCTTTTCTTTGAGCTTGCCTGAGACTTGCCCACTGTCAGGGACTTGGAAAGGGTGTGCCCCATGTCTAAAGCAGTCCTCAGTGCCTGCCCCTCTGGAGGTGCTGAGGTGCTTAGGCATGCATGATTCATATGCTTGGATGGCCGTGCTGGAACTCTGGGGGCTCTGCCATACTCCCTGGAATCCTCAGATTTCCAGGAGGCCAGTTCCACATTCCGTGCCATGTAGACCAGCCTTAGGGTTGCTCTGGCTCCTGTGCATCCACCCCATCTCAAGGCTGCTCCTGCAGCTGCTGGGCATTTTCACATCCCAGGTACCTGACTAGAGGGTGCAAAAGTGACTCTGCGTCCTGGCTCTCCTCACATTCCTGTCATAGTCACTGCTAAAGTATCAGCGGTTTTGGTTTTTAAGAAAGTTGCCTGGCAACATTTCAGAAGGTGGGGCCATCCCCCATGGTCATCCACAGGGTGTCTGCAAAGGTGCCTCCCATGTGTCTTCTGGGTTGTGTTGCCCACACTGGGGGTCTGCAGTGGGTGAGGCCCACCACACCCCACAGGCCTGTCCTCACAGGGAAGCATGTGAGCTTGGGCTGTAGTGTGGCATTGTCCAGTGTCACCTGGGCCCTCTAGGTCTCACTCAGCTGTTGCTGCTGTGTTGAACATCCCTTCCGGCAGCAGACATGCCCAGAAAGTGTCCTGTGAGGCCCAGAAGGTGGCCCCTCTCCTCCTCTTCCGCTGGGCCTCACAGGCTTTCCCTTCTTTTGTCTTACAGCTGGTTAGCGAGAAGGTCGGAGGTGCTGAGGGGACCAAGCTGGATGATGACTTTAAAGAGATGGAGAAGGTGAGGACAGCAAGCTCTGTGTGATCGTCAACACTGCTCAGTGAGAGTCCTGGGGCTAGGACCTCATCAAGTGCCCCCACCCCATCCCCATGACAGCCCAGGCAGGCTGGAGGGTTGGGGCCTCTGCCCGTTTGGCCTTGGTGCCTACTGGCTGTAGCCCACACCACACACTACCTCTTCACAGAAGGTGGACGTCACCAGCAAGGCAGTGACAGAAGTGCTGGTCAGAACCATTGAGTACCTGCAGCCCAACCCAGGTAGGGGTGTCAGCCTGCTGCTGGGGTCTGCCCTAACCCTGCAGGTCTCCTGGGCCACCCAGGAATCTTCCAGTTACTGGAGCATGAAAGGGAATGTGTGGGCTGACAGAACTGTGGTGCCTATGATGTGGGCTGCAGGCCTGGCTAGATCCAGAAGTCCAAAGGCTGGTCTTGTGGTCCAGCACTGGCTTTGCACCTGAGCCAGCAACTCCACTTCCTCTCTGTTGGCTTTACTCTCCACTGATGTATCCCTCATCCCAGCCTCCAGTCACTACGCATTAGCAGTCCCACCTAGCACAGAAGAACACCTTTCCCCAACTCTTGGTACCAGAGGGCAGTGGGGCCATCTGTTGGCCTAGGCTAGGGGCACGGCAGCAAATGGGCAGCAAAACCACAGCATGCAATGGAGGCAGGTGGCAGGGACAGGGAGGAGCAGCAGTTGAGGGCCTGCTGTACCCATCCAAGACTGCCTCTGACCACTGGCTTCTGCCATCCTCTCTAGGAAAAACAAGGACCTTGGTCACAAGGAGGTTCTACTCTGCTGCATGCTGCCTGTTCCTTGTGACCACTGGGAACCCACATGGGCAACAGGGGTACTAGGCCCTAGTACTAGAATGGGGGGACCACGTGAAAGAGGCTCACAGAGCCAACCTGACTTGTCCCGTTGCAGCCTCACGGGCCAAGCTGACAATGCTCAACACAGTGTCCAAGATCCGGGGCCAGGTGAAGAACCCCGGTTACCCGCAGTCGGAGGGGCTACTGGGCGAGTGCATGATCCGCCATGGCAAGGAGCTGGGTGGCGAGTCCAACTTTGGTGAGAGCTATGCATCATGTAGGGCTGGGGGCCTGGAGGACACTGTAGGACTCAGCATGTCCAATGCATGTAGTCTCCTCTGCTTACAATGCTGGGCACACTGGGCCAACAACCTGCCCTGTGTGGGGATGAGGAACAGGACAGACAGGACAGTAGTGGGGTACCCACCCAAAGCACAATGTTGGGAAGGACACTGGGAGGATGGTCCTTCCAAATTCTAGCTGCCAGGTGTTCTGCTATGGAGTGCAGGGGCCATTAGGAGTGAGGAGGCCTTGGTTCCACAGGGAAGGCCCCACCCACGACAGCCTCCCCTCCTGCAGGTGACGCCCTGCTGGATGCTGGGGAGTCCATGAAGCGCCTGGCTGAGGTGAAGGACTCCCTGGACATAGAGGTCAAACAGAATTTCATTGACCCGCTGCAGAACCTGTGTGACAAGGACCTGAAGGAGATCCAGGTGCTGTCCCACTGCAGTCCCATCCCCCATCCCTCAGCCCAACAGTGCAGGGACAGCTGGTCATGGCATCCCGGTGCTGCCCAGTGACACTGCCCTGGCACCTGCCCACAGCACCATCTAAAGAAGCTGGAGGGCCGCCGCCTGGATTTCGACTACAAGAAGAAGAGGCAGGGCAAGATCCCCGACGAGGAGCTGCGCCAGGCCCTGGAGAAGTTCGAGGAGTCCAAGGAGGTGGCAGAGACCAGCATGCATAACCTCCTGGAGACCGATGTGCGTGAGGCATTAGTGCTACCACATCCTGGGCACTGGGCAGAGGAACTGGGTGGCTGCAGGGCAGCTGGGGTGCCTGAGGGCATCCCTGGCCACTGCTCAGGAATGGGGATGGCTGGGTACACCCCGAGCCTCTGGGCCTCCAGGGCACAAGGGCAGCTGGGGCGTGGCTCTCAGCCCTTCTGCTCCTGTAGATTGAGCAGGTGAGCCAGCTCTCGGCCCTGGTGGATGCACAGCTGGACTACCACCGGCAGGCCGTGCAGATCCTCGAGGAGCTGGCCAGCAAGCTGAAGCGCAGGTGAGCCGCCCTGCCCTGTTCCCTCCGTTACCCAATTGCCATTAGAACGGCAGTTACTTAGTTCTTGCAGTTACAGCCTGTAGTGAGTAATAAGGAAGATGTGCTTCTAAAAACTAAACCCTTGAAGGTACATTTAAGATCCGTCAGTCCATGGCCCACACTCGAGCAGCTACTAGGGCCTCCAGAGTGTGGAAGTGGACAGTGCATCTGGCCTATCAGGCCAGCCCTGGTGTGGCACCCTGCAGAGCATCAGCCCTGCCCTCTATCTGGAGTTGCCTGGATTGCAAGTGTTCGGGGATCCCAGGAGGAGCAGGGCCTTATTGGGCTTGTCCTGTCCCTCAAGGAGAGGGACAAGAGGGCAGAGAGGCTAAGTCTGAGCCTGAGGTCATCCCCAAGCACTGGCCCCAGGAGCCTCCTTTCTGTCCCCTCCCTCCTCCTCCCTGCTTGTCCTCAGCCCTTAGTGGATTCTCACGGTCAGACTGAGTTGGGCCTGTTGGTCACCTGTTCTCCGGGCTGCTGAGGCCTTCACAGTACATGGGGTGTGCTGGAGGACAGAGGTTGAGTGACCTCTTAAGGTGGCAGAGGCTAGGAGACCCACCAGTGTCCCAGGATCACCAAGTGTAATGCACCTATAGTAGGCCCTGCCCCACACCAGACTAGGTCCTAGGCAGTGTCCTGATCAGCAGGATGGAGGGTTGGTCCCCAGCCTCAGCGTGGTGGTGTACTGGCTGCTCATGGTACTCAACCCCCTGGCAGAGTGCGGGATGCCTCCTCACGTCCGAGGCGGGAGTACAAGCCCAGACCCCGGGAGCCCTTTGACTTGGGAGAGCCTGAACAGTCCAACGGGGGCCTGCCCTGCACCTCGGCACCCAAGATCACAGGTGATGGGCGGGACAGTGTGGAGTGGGAACTGGGGCTGGCTTCAGTCTCAAGAGCCCATTGCTTCATCTGAACCTGGGGGGAGGAGGTCCTTGCCCAGCCCTCTGCAGAACGGGTCCCCGGGGGCCAGACATTGGGCCCACTGCCATATGCAGCTCCCCTGTTTTGCTCACAAGCAGCTTCCTCGTCTTTCCGGTCTTCGGACAAGCCCGTCCAGATCCCCAGCAGGAACATGCGTGAGTGTCTCTGAGGGCACAGGGTCTCTCTCCCCGCTTCAGCAGCTACAGCCTGGGCGCACCATGCCCCACCCCCCACCTCTCTGCACACAAGGGGCTGCCATGAGTAACAGGGCATATGCCTGGCCTAAGGCTATCTACATGATGTGCACAAGGGCTCAGGTCATCCTGAGTGTTCCCAGCACTTCCAAGAACAGCTTCAGTGACTGTTACAAAGCTCAGTCCCATCCTATTCCTTGTAACAACCCAGAGAGCAGTAAGGGAGGGGCTGAAGCAGGGGCACTGTGGGGAGCTTGACCTTAGTGCACACAGGCGCCCCTCACGCCACCACCCCCTGCCCCCCATGCCCACAGCACCCCTGGACCAGCCAAGCTGCAAGGCACTGTATGACTTTGAGCCTGAGAACGATGGTGAGCTGGGCTTCCGCGAGGGCGACCTCATCACACTCACCAACCAGATAGACGAGAACTGGTACGAGGGCATGCTGCACGGCCAGTCAGGCTTCTTCCCCCTCAGCTACGTGGAGGTGCTTGTGCCCCTGCCACAGTGAAGCCCACACTCCTGTTCCATCTGCCCTCCATACTGACTGGCGTCCATCCGGCCTAGGGCTTCTGCATTCCACTTGGCGCCTTACTGGGCTGCAAAGGGCCAGCCAGGGGGTAGCTCACCTTCTGGGCAGGTGAGGCCCTGTTTACACAGGCGCTGGGGCTCACCAGCAGGATAGCAATGGCGGCAGGGCTCCCTTCCACGTGGGGCTAACACTAAGGTGCTGTCAGAAACACTAACGTTCCTCCTGCTCCTCCAGGATGGTAATTGTAACTTTAGGGAGGACCCTCTTCTCCCATTCCCTCCCACCCAGCCCCACTGTTCTGACTCCATGGGACCCAGCTCCAGGCTGGCTGCCAGGAGGCCTGCTGCCTTAATAGGGTGGGGTGGGTCTGAGGCTAGACCCCTGGCTACTCCCTGCCCCTGGTTTTTAATCCTTTCCCAGCCCGTTGCTGGCAATGGGCCCCAGCCCCCACTCCAGGTTTTCCTGGTGGCCCAGGGGCACTGCCCCCTGCCTTGCACACACTAGCTATCCCATGGGAAGCTGGAGCCCCTCACAATTTCCAGCCTGCTGTCAACTCTGCCTGTACCCAGGCAGAGGCAGCTGGAGCTCCCAGGGGCTGCCCTACCCAGCAAGCCTCAAAATAGGACCCAGCCCTGCTCTCCAGATGTCTCAGCCTTCCTCACCAGGTGCTGAGCTCCCAGCCACCCCTCTCCAGCTCGCATCCCCACTGCCCAGCCTCAGAGCACATGGAGGTGTTTCCTCTGGCACAACTGCCACCACCAGCTGTGCACACAGACCATAGCCCAGCCTCCACAAGGGCTCTGAAGAGAATGTCCCCAGACCCCTGGCTGCTGGCACCTCCCCTCCCTGACTGCCGCCATTGCTGCCTTGTCTGTGGTGAATCCTGCGCCTTCTCTAGGGAGGCAGGCAGCTGCCAGGGACCCCAAGGTACCTGGCTGACTTTGTTTCCCTTACCTAACCCAGCCTTTGGCTGACTGGAGGCTTCTGGGACCGACCATGCTCAACATTCCCTCCCCAGGGCCCTGCCACGCCCATGGCCAGGCTCTGCCCCTTCATCCCCATCACGTGGGAGGCACAGCCTCGTCATGGTCCAAGGCAAGGCCACATGTACTCCTGATTTTTTTTTTAAAAAGTATTAAAATGTGTCTTTCTACAGCCTTACCTTGTCTTGCTCCAGAGTTGGGTCACCACCACAGTCACCCCATGCCACCTCCCTGGCGTGGCGCAGGAACCTGCCCCACAGAGCCACACCCACACCTTCCACCCACCGTCCCTCCTGCACCCTGAGCATTCTGCTGCCCAGACAGCAGCTTGCATGTCTGACAAGTGCTGTGGTGGTCAGGGTGGGGGGCAGACAAGATGGGAGCCAGGCCAGGTGCCGGTAAAGTCCGTACCCCTCCTCTCCAAGGAGGGGACCCATCCAGGACACCCGCCCACCCTCACCCACCCAAGGTGATATACTCATGAGCTAGTGTCTGCTCTTGCTTCTTTATTAGCTGAGTGTGAATCACAGAGGGCTGGGGACTGCGGTCAGAGCTGTGCTCACTAGGCTCATGGCACCTTGTGTTCAGCTGCCCTGCTTGAGGGCACTGCAGACCTGCTCCAGCACATGGCCCACGCCCTGGTCCTTGGGTGTCCTGCTGGCCAAGGAGATCTGAAACAGGGCCAAGGGCTTGAGCTATACCCCTGGGCTTCCACCTCCCTGTCCTGTACCTTAGGACTGCCACCCAATTAAGTCAGCACTCCTCACCCCAGCTGCCCAGTGCAGTGGGTGGAGGTGACCAGGAGCAATCCTGTGCTGGGACACTTTGAGAAAATGGCTTAGACAGGAGTTTCTGCACAAAGTGGAGCGGAGAGTTTCATGACAGTGACTAAAGCAGGAAACAAACAGGGCACTCTGAGGGTGGCCAAGCCCTGTAAACCAGAATCCACGCACCCCTTCTCAGGTGATGGCCATCATGTGAAACGGTCACACCAGCAGCTTCCCCTGTAGGATACCCAAAGGTCTGGGAGCTTCGAATTCTTAACTTGTTGTTGCTTTTCACTTTTCATGGTGCTGGGAAGAACCCAGGCCTGGCACGTGCTAGGTGAGTGCTCACCACTGGGCTGCACCCTAGCTTTGGACTTACCTTCATTATGGTCCCTTTCTCAAGCTGCCCTGGTACAACCCAGGTGCTCCCTGCAACAGTCCGCTCTCACCTTGAGCTTGTCCAGATAGCTGTGCTCCTGGCTCCACGGTTCCTGGAACCTCACGAGGTCTGGGGCACCCTTGTAGAACTCCACCAGCAGCATCTGTGGGACACAGGGCTGGCCCTCCTGGCTCCCTCCCTGTTCACCCGCCTGCAGTGTACTAGCATGCACACAGGACCGACATAGCAGCCCAGAGATAGGACCCAAGTCACCAACAGATCATGGAGTCATGATCCAAGTGACACAAAGGAGAACTTACAGTAGGCCTAGGAGGCCTACCACTTGAGCCACACCCCCAGCCCAAGTTCAACTCTTGTTAAATACACAATTAAAAAGTGTTCATGTTGGGCTGGCAGAGTGGCTCAAGGGGTAGAGCACCTGCCCAGCGAGCACGAGGCCCTGTTCTAACCCCAGTACTGCCAAAAAAGAAAAAGTTACCTGGCCAGACACCGTGGCACATGCCTGTAGTCCTAGCTACTAAGGAGGCAGAGATCAGGAGGGGATCCATTTGAGACCAGCCCAAAAAAAGTTAGCAAGATCCCACCTCAACCAGTGAAAGTTGGGCATGGTGGCTTGCACCTGCCATCCCAGCTACTCAGGCAGTGTAACACAGGAGGATCACAGATAAAATGAGACCCAATTCAAAAAATAAGCAAAAATGTCTGGGGATATGGCTCAAGAAGACTGTGAGTTCAAGGCCAACCTGGGTTGCATAGTGAGACCCTATCTCAAAAAATCAAAAGCCAAGCACTGGTGGCTCAACCTGTAATCTTAGCTACTCAGGAGGCAGAGATCAGAAGGATCACAGTTCAAAGCCAGCCCTGGCAAATAGTTAGCAAGACCATATCTCGAAAAATACCCAACACAGAAAAGGGCTGGTGGAGTGGCTCAAAGTGTAGGCCCTGAGTTCAAACCCTAGTACCAGAAATAAATAAATGTCATTCCAGGCTGGCAGTGGAGCCTGGGAGAATGAGCATTTGCCTGGCCCCAGGAGTGAGCTCACCATCTCATGAAGGATGTCATTGGTCAGGAAGCTGTCCTGGACATAGGCCATCTCTACGTCCATGGGGATGCCGTAGTCGCTGGGCCTTTGCTGGAGGGATGCAGGCGGGTCAGAGAGGCCTCATCAGGCCCCAGCCCGTGATGATGGCGCAGCAAGGGACCCTGGGGCTGCGGCAGTCTATGGTTCAGAGCTGTGGGAATCTACAGAACCCAACGGGCTGAGAAGCATCCTGCTGACCTCTGACCCCATGGGGAATGAAGCCAGGCACGGTTCAGGAAAGAAACCCCTTTGGTGACAAGGCTCCAGCCAAGCCTTCACTGCAGCCTAGAGTGACCATCATGTCCTCATTTCATGGGTGAGACAAACTGAGGCCCCAACTCCCCAGAACCAAAGCCCCCAGCCTTGGACTGTCGATAAAACTCTCATCCCTGGCACATCTGCCCAGATACCCTCGCTCCATCCACACACACCCTTCCCTGGCCCTCAGCCTTCCCCAGCAGCTACCATACCTCAGGGGGAGGCATCACCCAGAAGGGCGAGATCTTGGACTCAGGACCTGGGTTGCCTGAGTAGTACGGGGCTGGGGGAAGAGGGAGAGAGGCTGGCATGGAGGCTCAGCCATCATGGCACGGTCCCCCTCCCTCGCACCCCCAGCCTGGGCCTCACAGCAGAGCAGCGCCAGGCAGGGCTGGAAGCCATTGCTGGAGCCCTGCAGCCGCAGCTGGTACTCCATCTGTGCGTCAATATCCTGCAGTGAGGGCAGCGCCGGGCTGTGCGGGTGGCTGTGGTACCAGCCCACCAGGGACAGGCCCCGCAGGAACAGGCTCTGGTAGATCTGCAGGCAGAGACGGGAGTGAGGGGGTGGGGCAGGGCTTGAACAGCTGTCATGGACTCACACACACACGCAGCCAACCATGAATAAATGCAGATCCACCTTGCTCCTACCCTCACCCAAAGCCACAAGGTCAAATATTTCTATAGGACTGGAGGTGTGGCTCAAGTGGCAGAGCAACTGCCTAGCAAGCACAAGGCCCTGAGTTCAAACCTCACTACCACCAAGGGAAAAAAAAAAACAAGTATAGCTGGGCAAGCACAAGAAAACTGTCCCTATCTGAAGGTGAGGGTAAGGTGGCGTGTCCTTGGCTCACTGAACAATTGAGTCGTCCCTTGATACCCAAAGAGGACTGGCGCCTGGGGCCCACAGGGTGCCAGAATGCACGATGCTCAAATCCTCATATAAAACAGCAAAGTATTGGCGCACGGTCTGCACAAACCTCCCACGCCTCCAGGTGAATAATGACAAGGAAAATTTTATATGTTCCGTAATATTTTCAGTCTATGATTGATGGGATGTACACACATGGAACCTGTGAACACAGGGCAACTGTCCCTAGCTCACAGAAGCCCTTCAGTAAGTACAGAGGCAGATGCACATGGCTGCTTCCAAGCATCAGCAACAAGTGCAGGCAAAGACAAAGAACTGCTGAAGCCACACCTTTTTACCTGTCCCCCGAGGGACATGAGAGAGTCTCAAAAAAGAGGGTACAGGTCTGGTGTGGTGGCTCACACCTGTAATCCTAGCTACTTGGGAGGCGGAGATTGCAGTTCAAAGCTGGCCCGGAGCAAAAAGTTCTCAAGATCCCATCGCAACCAATGGCTGGATGCGGTGATACACATGCAAATCGAGGAGGATTATGGTCAAGACAGGTCCGGGCATAAAGTGAGACCCTACCTCAAAAATAACGAACACCAAAACAGCTGGCCCAGGTGGCTCAAGTAGTAGAGCAGCTGCCTAGCAAGCGCAGTAAGTTCAAAACCCTGTACTGCCAAAAAAAAAAAAACCCCAAAATGGGTGTTAAGAACAGCACCGGACACCAGTGGCTTCTGTCATCCTAGCCACTCAGGAGGCAAAGGTCAGGAGGATCGCAGTTCAAAGTCAGCCCACGCAAAATAGTTCAGGAGACCCTATCTTGAAAAACCCCATCACAAAAAAGGGCTGGTGGAGTGGCTTGAGGTGTAGACCCTGAGTTCAAACCCCAGCACCACACACACACACACACACACACACACACACAAAACCCAACAGAAGTGGAACTGGGGAGCAGCAGCTGTTGCTTAGCCAAAAAAGGAAAGAAAGATCATTTAAAAAAAAAAAGAGTAAGCTGGCTGAGTGGATCAAGTGGTTGAGCACCTGCTTAGCAAGCATGGGGCCCTGAGTTCAAACCCCAGTACTGCCACAAAAAAGAGACAAGAAACAGAGTGAGTGAAGCTGGCAGGATTCAAGTAGCGAGCCAGGGCTGGCACCCAAGACAGAGGCATGCATGCTCACTGGCACACTTGCTAGGCACTGGCACTGGCCTGGCCACCAGGACAGCTCTGACCCCCATGCAGCCCCTCACCTCCTCTTCAATGGTGGCCGCGGCGTCGGCATCCCCAAGCCGGCTCCGGCAGGGGAAGGCTCTCAGCACAGTGAGCACTGTGGAGCAACATGGAAGAAACAGCTGTTGACTGTGGCCCCACGTCCCTCCCTTTGCCTGTGATCCCAGCTACTCAGGAGGCAGAGATCAGGAGGATAGGTGTTCGAAGCCAGCCCAGCAAATAGTTCAGGCCCACCTGGTCTCCAATACCCACTCTGGTTGTTGATGTCCCAGCGGCCCCCGAGGTAGCCCACCACTTCACTCCGTGTCAGGTGACTGTGGAAGTCCTGGAGATGAGAGGCTCAGGCTGTAGCTCCTGCCCCAATGTGGAGCCAGCCCACTCTCTTCCTCCCCCTTACAGTTATTAAGCACCTACTGTTTACCAGGAGCAAACATACATTGAGCGCCCACATTTTACCAGCTGCAAACACAGCAGACAAACTCCCTGCTCTCTTGGAGTGGACATTCCCAAAGACTCTCCCCCCTGGTCGGTCCAGCCCCCCTGCCCAGGCCTGGGAGCCCCTCACCCCTGGACACTGAGGGACAAGGGAGCTTGGTCACACACCAGCAGAAATAGCACGTTGCTGGAAACGGCCACATTGAACGGCTGGAACTTGTTGATGGCCGCAAAGGACGTTACTTCCACCAAGGTGTGGGGATTCCTGGAGTGGCCAGGAGGGTCGCATAGCCTCAGGAACCCCAGGCTTTCCCCCACCCACCCACCCCCCACAGCTCTGAAGATCCAGGCTCTGTGCCCACCCCACCCCCACGCTTGCTCCCTCCACACCAAGCAAAGGCTCCCTGTAGTAAACTGAGGCAGGGGTGGCTCGGGACACATCGGACCTGGCTGAGTCGCGACTGCCCAACATGCAGTAGCGGACCGGCACCCGGACCTTGCTCTCCACTCGCTTCCCGGGGGGCGTGGCCTCTGGGAGGGGGAGGAGAGAAAGTCGCGGATCCCCAGCCTGGACAGAGACGCATTGGTCCCAAGAAACTGGGGGATGGGGTGGGGGGAGGGGGTGTTTGGGGGATTGCAGAGGCTGCCAAAGAAATTAGGCAGCACATAAAGAAATAAGTCAGAGGGACCCAGAATCCCAGCACTAGAACTTCAGAACTAAGGCGGCGAATAAAATTAGGTGGCACAGCTGGGGACGCCAGGGCGAACCAAGGCCCCACTCCTCCTCCTCCTCCCCCTCCTCATTATTTCCCTCCCCACCCCCACCCCGCGCCTCTCACCAGCGTGCGCAGGCTCCGAGGGGCCCTTCCCCTGGGGTCTCCGACTCTTGTCCTCCGCCGAGACCCCCGCCAGAACCTCGTCCTCGTCGTCCTCCATCAGCAGCTCCTCCTCCTCCCCTTCACTAGCTGGGCTCTGGTGGGGGACAGAAGTGGAACCTTCAGCTGGTGCTCTCCACCCACCCAAGTCCCAGACCTGCAGGCTGGTGGCCTGGGTGCCACTTCCCCCCGCAACCACTAGAGGGAGAGCGTGAGCAGAAGCATTTGAGGTGCACAACAGGCTCCCAGAAGCGTGGGATGCTCCCACGTGGACGTCTCGCAGGGTGGAATTCCTTTTCTTTTTTGGTGGCACTGGGGTTTGAACTCAGGGCCTCACGCTTGGTTTGGCTAGGCAGGCGCTCTTACCACTTGAGCCACTCCACCAGCTCTTTTGTTGTTTCCTTTTATATTGGCATATTTTTATTGTACAGAGGGGTTTCATTGTGGTATTTCCATAAATGCATTCATTGTACTCTGATCAAATTCAGCCCTCTATTACTTAGTCCCCTCCCCCATTTTTTACATTTTTGAATGTTTTTCATTATTCTATTTTCATACATGCAGATAAAGTACTTCAATCATATTCATCTCCCTCACCTCTATCTCTTACTTTTTATTTATTTATTTACTTAATTTTATTATTTTTGAGGTACTGGGGGTTGCACTCAGGTCCTTGAGCTTGCTAGGCAGGCAATCTACCACTTGAGCCATTCCTCCAGCAAGTCTCTATCTTGTAAAGGCTGTGTGACGGCAGGTGAGGGCCCTAGCCTCTCTGAACTTATTCCCATCTGTCAAACAGAACAGTAACCTCCAGCCAGAGGTAGTGACAGTGTGGGATAAGATAAATATGCGGAGCATTTGACACACAGCACCTACATGTCTACATAGATTATCTCAAATTCCCTCAATTATCCTTCCTCTCTAGGTGAGCTCTTTGAAACCAAATCCAAAAGTCACATCTCCTGGGAACACCTTTTCTCCCTTGGCCCCAGGCCCAGAACCTCCCCTCCTTTCCTGGTCTCTTTTCCCATCTTGGATCCCTGAGTCTTTGGACTCCTCTTTCCTTCAACCACAGTCTCCCAAGCAGCCTTATCCACTCTCGGGACTGTGAGCCTGAGATCCTGATGATATCCTTGGTCCTGTCTCCAGAGCAGGATTTCCCCGAGCTCTGGACTCAGGTCCAGCTGCCCCCTGACCTTTCCATGTGGAGTTTCACAATGTCTCACCCTCAACACAGCCATGCTGGGCCCCCAAACTGCTGTTCCCTGTCCCCCTTCTTGCCCCAGAGCAGCTCACTACCAGCTCAGGACCTCCAACATCTGATCCACTGGTAAATCCTGTCACATCCACTTTTCAAAATACCCAGGACCAAGGGCTGGAAGTGTGGCTCAAGTGGTAGAGTGGCCTAGTAAGGGTGAAGTCCTGAGTTCAAACCCCAGTGCCATCAAAAATAAAAATAAATAAACACCCAGGACCTACCCACTTCTTCCCTCTCCATGGACATCTAGTCCAATCAATTGCCTATTAGGACCAGCCCAGCCCAGTGGCTTCTGCCTGGTCCCCAGGCTCTCCCTATCATCCCCGCAGAAGCCAGCAGAGGGCGCCTGTGAGCACTGAATCAGGCCCCTCCCTCCCCTGCCCACAGCTCTCCATGGCTCCGACCTCCCTCAGGCACAAAGCCCAAGTCCTCCCTGCAGCCCACAGGGCCCTGCACCACCTGCCTGTCCCCTCTCTACCTCCCTCCCCACTCTGTCCCCCTCGTTCCCTCTGCTCCAGCCACACGTCCTCCTTGCTGCTCCTCCATCACCCAGGCTCATCCTGCCCCAGGGCCTTTGCACGGGCTCCCTCACCTCCTTCAGTCGTCTGGTCCAGCCCTGGAGGAGCTGTATCCAGATAAGCACTCCTCATCCACAGCGGGTCAGTGTGTGAAGGACTTACCTCATCGGCAGCTGCTATGGGCATGTGGAGCTGGTGTCGTCGGAGCCAGGCAGCCTTGTACTTGTCCAGTTTCTGGCCCTTGTACTTGACAGAGGCCCAGCCACAGCCAGACTTCTTGGCTGGGTTGACCAGCTTCTTGCAGTGGGTGGCCCAGGCGCTGGGGGAGTTGAAGACCTGTCCAGTTTCTTGCCATACGATCCTCCCGTCGGGCTGCAAGTCCCCAATGAACTTTTTCCCCTGCAGGGACAAGGGGCTGGCTGCACCCAGGACCTCTCAGCCACCAGGGCCCACTCACAGACATCTAACCTCATGCTCCCTGAGTCTTGGCACCCACTTTCCAGTACAGAGGTCCCTTCAAGGTCCCCAGGAGCCCTTCCCAGGCCAACCTCCTTCTCACTGGACTGTGATTTCCTAAGGGAAGGAACCAGGTCAGTCTTGATGACTGCTGTATCCCTGACAACCAACACACAGCCTGACACACAGAAGGTGCTCGATTAGAACACTAAGTAACGTGACTCAAGTGGTAGAGTCTACCTAGTGAACACAAGGCTCTGACTGGGGTTAGAACTCAGGGCGTCACACTTGCAAAGCAAGAGCTCTACCACCTGAGCCACACCTCCAGTCCATTTTGCTCTGGTTATTTTGGAGATGGGGTCTCATGAACTATTTGCCCTGGCTGGCCTCACACTGCAATCCTTCCGATATCAGCCTCCCAAGTAGCTAGGATTGTAGCCATGGGCAACTGTCCCAAAAACAACAACAAAAATGTAATTTTGTTTAATTAAAAAAAAAAAAAAAAAAAACCTGTTGGGCGCCGGTGGCTCACGCCTGTAATCCTAACTACTCAGGAGGCAGAGATTAGGAGGATTGTGGTTCAAAGCCAACCCAGGCAAATAATTTGAGAGACTCTATCTCAAAAAAAAAAAAAATCACAAAAAAAGGAGGGGCGGAGTGGCTCAAGGTGTAGGCCCTGAGTTCAAACCCCAATACAGGAAAAAAAAAAAACTAAAGGATTGTGCTTGGTGGCCCACATCTGTAATCCCAGAACTCAGGAGAGGGAAGCAGAAGGGTTTCAAGTTTGAGCCCAGACTACCTACCTAGAGCTTGTCTCAAAAAAAAAAAAAAAAAAAAAAAACAGCCAACAGACACACAAACAAAAACTAAGTGTCGGAGCTCTACGATAGAGCACTTTCCTAGCATGAACAAGATCCTGGCTTTCATCCCTGGCACACAAAAAAAGGCACCAGCTCCTATGTGTGGCTGCCCACCATTCTCTCCCCTTTTCATGGCGTCCTAATAAATCTTTGCTTTCTCCTAAAAATAAATATAGAACAAAGAGAGCAATAATAGTACAAGGACCCAAGCAGCATTTTACAGAAAGAGAAACTACTATTACACAGAGAGGTTAAGCGGGGACACACAGCCAAGAGGGCAGAGATATGACCCATCTGTCCCTGTGCAGGGGAAGCCTCAGTTTCTCCATTGGGGAATAGGGTATTTAATGAATCGTGTCCTCTGGCTGATGCATCCTCAGTTTCCCCTCCCCACATCAGGGCTCATCCTAAGGCCTCATTTCCCCTTCTTGCCAGAGCAGGGATGGGATGGGGGGAAGCGGGGAGGCTCACCAGGTAGTAGATGGATAGCACCCCGGCGCCGGCCTCCAGCAACTCGTCTTTGAGCAGCACCCGCAGCGTGACCGCGCGCCTGGTGAGCACGCCCCCCAGCCCGCTGCAGACCCCCGGCCCGGGCCCGCCACCGCCACCGCCACCGCCACCGCCACCGCGCCCGCCGCCCGCGCCCGCGCCCGCGCCCGCCGGCCGCTCGGGGTCCTCGGCCTCCGCCTCATCCTCGTCCTCATCCGGCGGCTCCTCGCCCGCGCCACCCGCGGGGGACAGCGGCTCCGGAGCTGCGGGACAGCGACAGGCTGCAGCGAAGCCGAGCGCGCCCCGCAGGGCCAGCCCCCGCGCCCGGCACCGCGCGGGCTCCGCCCGCCAGCCCCGCGGTACCCGCCATGGCCGCTCCGCCCCGCGCCCGCGCGCCGCAGGCTCTTTCTTCACGCACGTCACCCGGCCCCGCCCCGAGCTGCGGCGCCCCAGCCATTGGCCGCCGCCGGAGGGCGGAGGGGAGGCTCGGCCGCTGCGGCGATCGGGGAAACCGAGGCCTCGGGCTGACCCACGCGCGGGAAAGGGAATCGCGATCTCAGTCCTCCCGGATCATTTGGGAAACTGAGGCCGGAGGGTGGTGGCGGTGACCGGGAGGAGGAAACCGAGGCCGGGACCTCCGCCTGTCAGTTTGCTGTCTGGGCCTGGAGGGGGGGGCGGGGCTCTAGTGGGTGGGTCAGCATGCTGGAGTGAGCGGGGAAACTGAGGACCGAGGCCACCGTTGTAGAAGGGCTCAGAAGACTCGGCCGTTGTGTCCAGGGGAAAAACTGGGGTCCGGAGGACCCTCGGGATGCAGAGGGGAAGCAGCCCGGCGCAGGAGTCATCTAAAGCGGGGTCTCCCTTAAGGGTTAGCCTCTCTGCCCCCTCCGCAGGCCCACAGATTGCACCAGGGCAGAGCCCGCCTGCCAGTCATTATATTTCACCTTCAACCAATTGGCAACAGGCGTTGGATTTCCGTCCAGCCAATCGGTATTAAACTGCTGAGTCCGCCCGAACTCGGATTCAGCCAATGAGTAGCCATCTCATGAATCAATTATCAAGCCCCGGCCTCATTCATCCAATCAGATGCGGAGTCTGTTTCTTCGCCAACCAATCAGCTCCCGGATAAAACCTGCCTCGCGGGTCTAGCGTGACAGAGGAAAGGGGCAGGGCTCTGGTGGACTTCGTTCTGGACTGGTATTCCCGGCTGTTGTCCCTATTCTCTGTTTTGGGACCTTCGCCCCGAGGCCCAGCGCCGGGACTCCCCCAGCCAGGGCAGTCCGGGAAGGCGGGGGTGGGGACTAGGAGTTCAGATGCGCCCTGGGCTGGCCTCAAACGCCGGTGGGTTTGCCTGGATCCATGGGGAAGAGAGGACAGGCCATTATGGACGAGGGGAGGTCAGACTAAAAGCAGCACGCTCTGAAATGTTATATATCTTTTTTTTTTCTTTTTTTCTTTTTTGGCAGCACTGGAAGTCCCACTAGAGTCTTCCCACTCCTGTCCAGCCCCCCAGCCCCAGGTTGCAAACTAACAGGCTGTGGTCTCGGTGTTGCCCCTAACTCAGGGCCTCATGCCAACCCAGCAGGTGCTTTCCAACCCCAGGCCTTTGGAATGTTCCAAGGAATAGGACTTGTCATAGAATAAGAACAGAATAAGTGTGATCTCTCTCTCTCTCTCTCTCTCTCTCTCTCTCTCTGCCCAGGGCTTCTTTCAGAGTCATCCTGACTGTCCAGTCCACAGCTGATCATCCTCCAGCCCCTGAGGCTAAGTAGGGACCAAACCAGCCTCCGTTTATCCCCCTGTCACTTTCTCCTTGGCTCTTTTCATCCCACGCTTTGCAAAACCCTGAGACAGCTTCTCGCACCAGGACCTTGGCCATCTCCTTAAACGTCGAATTTCACACATTTCACCTTCCACCCTGGACCTAGAGAGATCTTTCTAAAATGCAACTATTACCATCTCCCCCTTAAACCCTTCTATGGCTCCCCATTGCCTTTGACAAATAAAATCAAAACTAACCACTGTGGCTTGATACTGAATGGCACCTGTCCACGCAAATACTGTGCACTTCATTAGATGGGTTTGCAGACAGAGATGGCACTACGCAAACACTTACTTATCCTATGGAAACTAAAGTGTATTCTTTGTCACCTGTATAAAGTCCAAGCAGCCTAGCCTTGTATTAAGGAAGTAGAATTTGTCGTTTTAAAACTCCTGAAAAAGAAATCTCCAGGCCAGAACAGTTTCACTAAACATTTCTGTCAGTTTAAAAGAATTCACACCAGTTTTGCATAATCTCTTCCAGAAAACAGAAGAGGAGGGAACACATCTCAATTCATTTCATGGAGCTGCTGTTACTACCCTGCTACCAAAATACTGACACCAGACAAAGCCAGCACAAAGAGAGAAAGCTGCAGGGGGCTGGAGTGCATCTCAGTGGAGGAACACTTGCTCAGCTGAGGCCTTGGGTTACATGTCCAGCACCACCAAAAATAGTGCCTTGTATAATTAATCAAAAATGGCCACTGGACTGGAGGTGTGGCTCAAACAGTAGAGTACCTGCTTTGCAAGTGTGGAGGCCTGAGTTCAAAACCCCAGTACCACCAAAAAAAAAAAAAAAGGCAAAAAACTATTTTAGCCAGGTGCAGGTGGCCCAACCACTACTCAGGAGGCAGAGATCAGGAGATCATGGTTCAAAGCCAGCCTGGGCAAATAGTTCTGAGAGACCCTATCTCAAAAAACCCTTCACAAAAACAGGGCTGGTAGAGTGGCTCAAGGCCCTGAGTTTAAACCCCAGTACTGCAAAAAAAAAAAAGGCCAGCTGCCTGTGGCTCACACCTGCAGTCCTAACTACTTAGAGGACTGAGATAAGGAGGATGGAGGTTGGATGGCAGCCCAGGCAAATGGGTTAGATTCCCAGCACTGCAAGCAAAGGAATTACACCACGTTGATGATTGCAATGAAAGATTTAAGTAAATGAGGAGATAGACAATGTCTTTGGACAGGAAGACAGCATAGTAAAGAGATCACATCTCCCCAGATTGCTACACAGGCTTGGGGCCATTGCTATAAGAATTCCAGCAAAGCGGCAAGCTATTGTAACATCCTGGTGCTTAACAGGCATTCAAGATCTTTCTATTATGCTTTGCATGGGTTGTTTTTGTCTGTTGATCCCTCAGCCCCTCAGGCAACACCTATGCTTGCTCATGTCCCCATCTTTGCTTAGGAAGGGAGCCCAAAGAGGCCTGGATTTCCCTGGGATCCTGGACCTGCTGCAGCCCTGCCCCAGCCCAGCCCCCGCCCAGCGCTGGCAGAGAGGGAGGTGACAGGCTGACGCTGAGAGGAAATTCCCCTGGAACCTGTTTCTCGGCTTCCTGGCCTAGCTGAGGCGCCCGCTGGAAGGAGAGGCTGGGCAAAGACCCAGGCCACCATGGCCTCGGCCCTGGGCCCGTCCCGGGTCCCCAAGCCCAAGGGAGTCCATCCTTCACACTACTACGAGAGCTTTCTAGAGAAAAAGGGGCCCTGTGACCAGGTAAGACGGGGCAGGGAGCCTGGCACTGCTGGGCGGTCCCAGCAGGTACACTACCTCTCTGAAACCCACTGGCCAAGGGGGCAGGTAGTTGCTGAAGGGAACCAGGCATGCGCTAGCAACTTCAGGGGTTCTGTCTGTTTCACTCTCTCTTTCCATATCACTTTCTCTGATTTGATCCCTTTCTGTGTGTCTCTTGGTGTCTGTCTCTCTTCATGGCTCGTCCTCTGATATGCTCCCTTTCTGTGTGTCTTTTAGTTCTGTCTGTCTGTCTGACAGCCCAATCTGTCTCTCTCTTTCTCTGTCCCCATCTCTGTTTCCATCTTGTCTCTTGAATACAAACAAGACCAGGGACTTCCTCCAGGAAATGAAGATCCCTCTGACTCCTACGCCTCCTCCTCTTTCCAGTCCAGAATTAACCCTGCGAACTTGAGCTTCAGGGGTCAAAGCCAGGACAGGTGACATTTGAGGACAGTGAGAGCTGATGGGGGCCACATTTGGCAGAATCAGATAGTGACCATGGGACCAGTGGTGTGAGAGTGTGTGAGTGTGTGTGTGTGTGTGTGTGTGTGTGTGTCTTCCTCGGGATTGCACCCCAGCCCTCAGTCTCCCCTAGGACCTATCTCTGCCTCCTCACACCCCATATGCATTGCTTGCTTGCTACAGTCCCAGCCAATCCCTTCTGTTTTTCCCTGCTCACCTCTCTGCCTCCATCCAGGTGACCTTGACCTTTCCTCTGCCTGCCTGTGTCCAAATCTCCCCCCCACCATGGAATCCACTAGAAGCAGTATGGAATGGTCATGTCCCCACCCATCAAGCGACCAGGTGCAGATCCCCACTCCGAGCCTTCCTTATCCCAGCTTACTTCCTATGCCCCTGACCTGGTTTGGAGACTTACTTTCCCCTCTTATGAAATGGGTAGAGGGCTTTACTTGGGGCAGGCACTGGGCATAGAGATATATATATGCCATCAATCCCACTTTCTTCTCATGAGAGCCTCTAAGGTAGGCACCACAATTATGACCATTCTACAGTCAGGGAAACTGAGTCACCAAGAACTCAACTTACCCAACAGTCCTTAACTATGATATGATGGACCAAGTCTGATCACATATTCCAGAATACACAGTTCAAGTGTATGAGAAGCTTCTCCAAGGCACCATGAGACCAGAAAGAGGCAGATAGGTCCACAATTGCCTGAGTACGATTTCTTGCGAGACTTTTCTTTGGTTTTGTATTCTGAGACAGAGTCTTACTCGTAGCCCAGGCTGGCCTCAACTTGCAGTCCTCTTGCCTCAGACTCCAAGTGCTAGGATTACAGGCAGAGACCAGCAGGTCTAGCTATTGGGAGACTTTCTGGAGGAAGCATGGCAGAGCAAGACCAGTTGATTGCTGTGACTTGGCTCAGAAAGAGAGGTGGATTTATGGGTTAGGAAAAATGACTTCATCCAAGCTGGGATTTTTTTTTTTTTTCAGTGCTGGGGTTTGAACTCAGGGCCTTCACCTTGAGCTAATCTACCAGCCCTTTTTTGTGATGAGTTTTTCGAGATAGGGTCTCTCAGAACTATTTGCCCAGGATGGCTTTGAACTCCAATCCTCCTGATCTCTGCCTCTTGAGTAGCTAGGATTACAGAGTGAGCCACCAGTGCCCAGCCGGAATGCACCTGCTTTATCTGAAGCTAATATCAAAGAGCCAGGCACATTCCCCTTACCAGGGTCCAGCTGTGATGCTCCACCAGCCACTCTAATGGTTTTGTCTTTTCATAGTATGCTGGGAACTAGGAGGGAAATATTGACTAAGGTTACTCTGGGACAATCATGGCAGTTACAGGACTGGAGGTGTGGCTCAAGTGGTAGAGTGCCTGCCTTGCAAACATGAAGCCCTGAGTTCAAACCCCACTCCCACTACAGGATGGCTGTAGTCATGTCAAGCTGAATCTATATGCCATGCTGAGTTTAATCACTGAGTTTGCTCTAGTCTCAGCAGGCCCTCAGTAAATATCAATTAAATGCAGGTACGTGTCTATGGATGGATAGATGGATGGATAGATGAATGGATGGATGGATGGATGGATGGATGGATAGATGATGGGTATATAGATGGATGGACAGATGAGTGATTGCATGGATGATGGGTGATTGGAGGACCATCTGAATGAATGATGGATAGATGGATGGGTGGATGACGGGTGAATAGATGCTTGTCTGGATGGATGGATAGATGGGTAAATGGATGATGGGTGGATGAGTGGATGGATAGGTGGATGGGTGGATGGATAAATGCATGGATAAATGGGTGAATGGGTTGGTGGGTGTGTGGGTGGATGGATGGGTGGATGGATGGATGTGTGGGTAGATGGATAGATGGATGGGTGAATAAATGGATGGATGGATGGGTGGGTGAGTGGATGGATGAGTGAGTGAATGATGGGTGGATGGATGGATCAGGGAGTGGATGGATGGGTGGCTGAAATACCACCAAGCTAGTTAGTTCCCTTTACTCCTAGAGCCCTCACCTCCACAATTTGTGGAGCTGCCCAAGTCCCCCATCCTCTCAAGTTTCCTTTTTTTTTTTTTTTCCTAGTGCTTTCCTATGCTAGGCAATTGCTCTGCCACTGAGCCACACCTTCAGACCAAGGTTCCTTTTTGTCCTTTCTTAGAGGATAGCAGATCCTCAGAAGCTGAACCACAGGTGGGGAGAAACTCCCTGAAAAGACCATATTTAATCAGATACCCAAAGAGAGTAGCTTTGTGAAGACCTGAGGGACCAGCATTCAGGGAGAGGAGAGAGACAGGCAGAAGCAGGTCTACTGAAGTTCCCCAGCTCAGCTCCCTCACCTCCTTCTCTTTCTACCTTTGGTCTTCAGGATTACAAGAAGTTCTGGGCAGGTCTCCAAGGTCTCACCATCTGTTTCTACAACAGCAATCGGGACTTCCAGGTGAGGATGTGAACAGGGGCTCAGGGTGATCAGAGGGAGGGCACCGTGTGACCAAGGGAGCGGCTACATCATCTAGGGGTCCTGAGGGCCCCCCAGGCCTGGGAATCAGACTCCCTGTTTCTTTGCCCAGCCCCTGGAGAAGCTAGACCTGAGAACATTTGTGAAGCTCACAGACGAGGCTCCCCGGGGAAGCTCACGTGACCCTGGCATTCACCTTAACCTGGTCCTTCGGGATCAGGAGATCAAGTTCAAGGTAGGTCAGTCGGAGGTGCTGGTAGGGCAGGTTGTGCAAAGCCTTTTGGACTGCAGAGAGAACTTGAGTTTTTACTGAGAGAGGTGGGAGCCATGAGGGAGTTTAGGGCATCAGAAGTGCTTGGGATTTGATCCATGTTTCTCAAATGCTGATATAAGAATATTTATAAAGAATACGCCATGTTACCGAGGACTATGTTCAGACATTACCCTAAGCGAACTCATCCCATCTTTGAAACAGCACTTGGAAACAGAGACTCTCACTATTATTTCATCTTTCTTTCCCTTCCCAGTTAGAGAGCCTGGAGTCCCGAGAGATGTGGAAAGGGCTCATCTTGACCGTGGTGGAGGTGAGTGTGGTCACCCTCCAACCCTCTCTCCCCTGCTCCAGAAATCCTCCTTTCCTTTCCCATCCATTCCACAAATGAGCCTCTAGAATATGGCATACTGGTCTCAACCAATGGCCCACCTGCCAAAGACAGCCCATAAAAATCTTCTGTTTTGTCAACAATGCTAAACTTTTTAAATAGCTACCACTATTTTTAAAAAACAGGAGTTTGGCTAGGTGCCATGGTACACATCTGTAATCACAGCTACTCCAGAAGTAGAGATTGGGAAGATCTCAGTTTGAGGCCAGTCTGGGCAAAAACTTAGCAGGACCACATCTCAACAAAAAAAGCTGGCCATGATCTCACCTACGATGGAAACTTAAATAGGAGGACTGCAGTCCAGGCCAGGGAAAAATGTGATCGCCTATCTGGAAAATAACTAAAGCAAAAAAGGGTTTGGGGTGTGGCTCAAGTAGTAGAGTGCCTGCCTAACAAGTAAAAGGTCCTGAATTCAAACCCTAGTACTAAAAGCAAAACACCCAGTAATTTTAGTCTACATCTCTGCCTTTTCTTTTACTCACTTGTTTTCTGCCTGACACTTGTAGGCCACCTGCCCAGTCCCTGCACTGTACTATAAAGTTTGAGACCCTAACACCTGCCCTGTCCCCTGTTTCCCTGTCTTTTTTGCTCCTGAGGTTCCAGGTGGCTCTAGAGCCCTCAGACTGGGCTTCCATCCTTGCTCTGCACGCTGGCCTCAGTTTGCCTGTCTGTGACATGGACGTAGTTGCCTGTTTCCTCAACCTTCTGTGCGATTACTGTTCTTCCATCCCCCTCAGCTCCGTGTCCCCCCCAACCTGACCCTGCTGCCAGGACATCTGTACATGATGGCTGCAGTTCTGGCCAAAGAGGAGGCGCGACGAGCCCTCGAGGTGCCGTCGTGAGTACTGAGTACCCTGCCTGGCCCAAGCGGCCCTATGTGGCTGAGGGTGGGCGGTGAGCGGGGTCGCCTGACGTTGAGTCTTGGATAGGACTGGGGCGGGACCTTGGGAGACAGGTCTAGGTCCCTAGAAGGTAGAGCGGGGTCTCCAAGGCGGGGTTATGTTCCGGGAGGGTTTGACCCGGGCGGGAGAGCTTTATGGGGAAGCTGCTTAGACGAAGAGGCTGGTGGTTCTCTAGAGACTGGTCCTGGATCTAGGAGAGGGCTGGGTCTCGGGCGGCGGGGCCTGGGTCTAGGATGGGAGGCTGGGGCTCCAGGGGCGGGGTTACGTGTAGGGGGCGGGGCTCATTCTTTAAGGGCGGAGCTCGTGCCGAGCCGGTGACGTGCCCGCCCCAGGTGCTTCATGAAGGTGAGCCGTCTGGAGGCTCAGCTGCTGCTCGAGCGCTACTCCGAGTGCGGGAACCTGCTGCTGCGGCCCAGCGGGGACGGCACGGACGGCGTGTCGGTCACTACACGACAGATACTCAATGGGTGCGCAAGCATGGCTTGGCCCCTGCGGGTGGGAGGAGAGTCGGGCCGGGGACGGAGCCAGCCCCGAAATCGAGACCGCGTAGGGGCGGGGCTCGAGCTCAGGGGGCGGGCACTTGAGTCTGGCCCCGCCCCAGGAATGGGGTTCCACGCCGTGGGCGAAAGGTATAGCCCAGACCAGGCTGCAAAGCCTTTGGGAGAAGAGGTCAGGTGTGCAGGGGCGGGGCCTCTGCAGGTGGAGTTAGTCCTGGGATTAGGATGAGCTGTTCTGGACAGTCGGGGGGCGGGGCCCGAGTCTGGGCAGGTAGAGCAGTCCTTGGTCACCGGGGAGGGGGGGAGGGGGAAGCGGGGCCAGGGCCTGACATTGAATAGTGAGGCCAGGGGTCGCGCTGAGAGTGGAGTCAGGATTCTGAGGGCGGGGCCAAACCTAGGGGCGTGGTCTCCTTTTGGGGTGGAGCCAGTGATCCTCCCTGGAGGTGGAACCAGGAGTGGGGCCGAGACATACCTTGACGCCCAGCCACCTAATCGCCCACTACCTGAGCAGGGCACCCGTGGTCCGGCACTACAAGGTGAAGCACGAGGGCTCTAAGTACGTGATTGACGTGGAGGATCCGGTAAGCATTGGGCTCGGGTCTCGATTAGCGCGCTGTTGGTCCGCGCCTTTTTCCCCCAGCCCTAATCGCAACCTCCATCTGCCCCCCCAGTTCTCCTGCGCCTCGCTGGACGCAGTGGTCAACTATTTCGTGTCGCACACCAAGAGGGCGCTGGTGCCCTTTCTCCTGGACGAAGACTACGAGAAGGTGTTAGGTGGGTGCGGCTTCAGGGAGCTGGGAGGGCCCGGTCCGCACCTTTCCTGTCCCCACGCGACGGGGACACCCCTGGCCCATCTCCTGGCCGCCGCGCCTCCTCCAGGCTGCCCTCTATGTTCTAGGCTACGTGGAAGCGGACAAAGAGAACGGCGAGAATTTGTGGGTGGCGCCCTCCGCCCCGGGTCCAGGTGACGCCCCCTTTACATGATCGCTGCTGGGGCAGAGGGAGGGACCCAGGACCCACATTCCACATCAGAGGTGTCAGTCACATCCTGACCCATAGGCAGAATTCAAGGACAGAAATTACCCAGATTTGGGCCGTGAAGGGGCTCCCTGGTTGGGCAGAGGGTGACTGACAGAGGTAGACACAGACACTCCATCCCTGTGGGGTCAAGCCTGGGATGGAGGAGAAACCTGGAGACAGAGCAGGGAAGCCTTCTCAGAGGAAGCAGGGTTTGCTGAAGGTCCCAAAGGATTTCAATGGGTGGGCCCTGGAGGAACAGAGGAACAAATAGTACCCAGAGATGGGGGATCAGGTGGCTAATGGGAAAAGAGAAGTGGGCCCAGTTCACGGAGGGCTGGAGGCAGGGTCACATTGGAGAGGCCCATGGGTTGCCCAGGGTGGTCCTCCCCGAGCTGGGCAGGTGCAGAGACCCCAGGTGTGCAACAGACATGTGTGCACACATGCACACGAGATACTCCACAAACTCTTCCACCACCTGTAGTCAGAAACTCATATACCCACATAGACATGTATGTCCCACGTTCCTGTGGAAATATTGTACAGCACATGTACCATCTGAAGCCATGGTCACAGGAGCACCCACAAACACAGACATGTCATTCACACAACACACTAACATGCACAAGTAGTAACTATTTAAGTTATACAAGTGTAGTGAATGTGTGTGCCCATGCTGCCTGGGGACACAAATAGAGATCCATAAAGGGCCTGTGCATAGAACACACGTGCACAGCAACACGTGACACTCCCCCTTTCCCTCACCAGGTCCTACACTCCCTGCAAGTGTCCCCAAGCCACCACCTCCTGTGTCTGTGCCTGTGTCTAGCCAGGACAAGCTGCCGCCACTACCTCCCCTGCCCCCACTACCAAGCCAGGATGAGAATTATGTGACCCCCATTGGAGACATCCCAACTGCCGACTATGAGAATCAAGATGGTGGGTGGGGGCAGGGCTGTCATTACTGGGGTGGGGGAGCTGGCTAATGGTCCCTTGTGACACCATACATTTATCTACTCAGTGTCTTCCTCTACTCGGCCAGCCATCCTGAAGCCCAAGAAGTTAGCAAAGCTTCCCACAAAGCCGCCGAAGCCACCCATCGTCCCCAAGCCAGGTAGGGCTCCCTCCTCCCACACTGCCTTTGTCGATGGCAGTGGCCTTTGTCCTCATCTGCCTTCTTTTCCAGAACCCAAAGCCATCAATGGTGTCCCAGCCAGGAAGCTGGCAGGCCGCTCACCCCAGGCTGTCTTCCTTGCAACAAGTAAGGGGACTGTGAGGTGGACAGAGGGCAGACTTCTGAGGTGTGTGACCCATGTAGTCACACATGGGGGTTGTCTGTAGGTGCTGGTCCTGGGTAGATTTGGGGGTGGGTAACAGATGGGATTCAGAGCCCAACTGAAGTGGAGGTGCTGCCCCCCCAGGGCTGGGAGATGTGACAGCGGAGCTGGAGGAGAAGCTGCAGAAGAGGCGGGCACTGGAGCACTGACACCGGGGGGCCACTGAGACATTTGTGGGCACAGCACAGCTGTCCTTTCCCTCAGCATTAAAACTCAAGTGACCCCAAGGCCTACGTGTTTGGCATGGCTAGAGAAGGTGGCAAGGTGGGGCCTACTGAATGTCTGCCCACAGTTACCCCAGTTACCCCAGTGGTCCTCAGCCTGGCAAGCTGGTTCCTGTAAGGAAAGCCCATTCCACAGTTGGGAAAGTTGAGATCCTGGGGTCACACAGCAGGCAGGCCTGCCCAACCCTAAAGAGCCAACACTGCAGGCGGGCCAGTGTTTGACCTTTATTAGGAAATGAGGGAGGAGGGGCCACCCCAATGCCCACTCCCTGTTGGGACCCCCCCACATCTGGAGTTAAAGCTCCAAGCAGCAAGTGAAAGTATGGCACCCGGTTGAACTGACCAGGGGCTGTTGGCGGTCCCCAAAAGCACCCTGGCTGGGTGGGTGGCCCGGTGGCCTAAGTGAGACTGGTGTTTGAACTGCTGGTGACACTGTCCCGCTTCTGTAGGCAGCGCACGGAACTGGGGACCTGGAGGCCTGTTGTCACCTGGAAGGTGCCACACCACACCTGGGGAGGGTGGGAGAGGAGAGAGCTCAGCCTGGAAACCCAGGACCAGAACCACCCTCCTATCCCCAGACAGGGGAGGGCAGCTCACTGTGAAGGCAGGCAGCAGTGGCTGTGTGAACTTGGCCTTGAAGGTGTGCAGCAATTGTTTGGTGCGGGCGTTGTAGAAGGACAGGAGGCCTGGAGAGGAGACAGAGTGACAGAGATGCTGTGTGAGAAGTGCAATGAGGACCAGGGAAGGGGCTTAGGCACTGGTGGAGAATGGGCCCAGGCAGCTGCATACTTGACATCACCTTGGTGGAAGTCACAGTGCACACCCAGGCAGTCGGGCACGGGGGCGTCCAGCACCTTGACCTTGTTGGCGTGCTTGGCGGTGAAGCTGACCTGCAGCCAGTTGTTGACGTGCAGGCACCAGGATGCAGCTGTCTTGCCCAGCTGCTCGAAGCGGCCCAGGCTGCGGTATGCCACACCCACACCGAAAGCCTTGCTGTCAGGCTCATAGCGCACCTCCCAGTAATGATCCCCACCATCGATCAGCGTGTCCCCTGTGGGGCGGGGGGGCAGTGGGGATTGGGTAGAACCAGGTCCAGATGTACTTCCACAAGGGGCAGCCACCCAAGTACTCCCTACATCACAGCTGTTCCCTCCAGCTACTTCCCAGGTCCCAACAGTTACTCTCAGGCCCCAGCTATCCCCCCACCCCAGTCTTTATCAACTCCTCTAGATAATTCCTAAGCACAAATGCTCTCCAGCTTCAGTCACTCCTTTCAGATCCTCTAGCAGTAAAACTACTTTTAAATCCTCTCAGGCCTTAGGGACTTCAGTTCTTCCCCACATTCAGATACCTCTCAGTTCCTCCCGGGAACTAGGTCATCACAAACCCTTCCTCCTGGCAGTCAGTGTTCCCATGTGCCTCTGTCTAGATATCCCAGTAGACTCCAAATGCTCCTTCCTGATCCCACCCAGACCCCGGCTCCTGGTGGGAGCTGGGTTCTCCCAAGCCCTGAGCTCACTCGCTCAGAGCTCTCTGAGATGTGACTCCTCACACATCAGGTGCTCATTGGATCCCAGCTCTTCCCTAAGCCACATCCTGACTGCCACCCCAGCTCCTCCCTCTTCTGCCCCCCACCCACTCAGCTTCTCCCCCAGTCCAGGCTGCTTCCTGAGGAAAGGCTCTCTGCACCCCTCCATCTTCCCTTGCCTCCTCCTGAACCACAACTCTTACCAGTCCCAGGTGCCTAAGAAAACCCGGGTCCTCCATTAAACCCTAACTTCTCCGCAGGCCCTGGCTTACCCTCAGAGCCCTGCTACTCTCTGGCTCCTCCACACACCCTAAGTCACTGCCCCAAGCCCCTGGTTTGCTTCGGCTCCTACAGGGGCCCAGATGCTCCACAGGCAAAACCACTCCTTCCAGCTACTCCCCAAGTATCAACTACTCTCCAGACTCTACGTAGTGCCCTGTGACTACAGTTCAGACATCTCAGTGTCTTTGCTCAGCTCTGTAATGTAAGCTCAAGCTCTCTCCATTCACCCCTCATCCCCAAATATTCCCGGCCCCCCCAGAGCCAGGACACCAGGTCATGTTGGGACCATCCCCAGGAAGGCTATTGATGGCTGCTGTCTTTCCAGCCAAAAGAGTGACCCTCTGCACCCCACCCGGGCGCTGCCCACAACTCCTCTCTTCCTGTCCTCCCCCCCCCCACCCCCCATCTTTACCCAGCACTGTGTAGGACTCAGCTGTGAAGCGATCCCGTCCCCCACGACTTGAGGGCATCCTCTTGGGAGATGGCGTACCTCTGGGGAGGTAAGGATAGGGAGGTAACTCAGTTTAGGCCTCACTTTCCCAATCAGAGGGCCTCTCTGGTTCACCCCAGCCATTCTGGATATTTGGTCAGTCTCAGCAACATTTGGCTTTCCATATAGACTCTTCACGTTCACCCCCATGTCCCTCATCATCTGGAAAACTCTTATTCAACCATCAAACCCCTATTCAAAATCTCCTTGTTCCCTCACTGACTGACTGGGCTGTTCCAGCTTCCAGAAGGAAGCTGCCCTAGGTCCCTGCCCCCACTTATACTCCTGCCCCTCCTGGCTCTGACCACAGCAGGCTGCTGTGTGCATCCAGCCCCATCCTCTCCACCAGAAACCCACGGAAGGGATGGGGCAGGCTACCTGGCTGGCGAGTTGACAGGAGATGCCGTCCGCCCCTTCCCGTCTTTCTCTCGAGCCTTGATATCTTGCACTTTCCCGCCCATGGCATCCCACTCCACGGAGAGGTCATCCACCCGCAGGTTCTGGTGGGATGTGGACGCATCCAGGCGGAACATGAACGCTGGGACCGGGCAGACACAGGAAAACCAGAGAGACACAGAGAGAGACAGAGACAGGCGCACGGTGACCAAGGCAGACCATGACAGAGACAGAACAGGAAGTGACAAGGAGACAGATGGAAAGACACCGAGAAACATGAGATGGGGAAAGATGGGGCTGAACGTGGGGCCAGAGTGAAGGTCTAGGGTTGTTGCCCAAAGGTCTCTCAGGTCTACAGGTATTTTCTTTTTGCAATACCAGCGTTTAAACTCAAGGACTCAGACTTGCTTCTACTGCTTGAGTCATGCTCCCAAGCCTTAGAGCATTTGCAAGCCAATTGCTCTGCCCTGAACTCACACTGAGGACTGACCGCAGGGAAGGGGCAGGGCTACAGCATGACAGAATCAAGCTAGACAGCAGAGGGACTTCCTAGTGGGGCATGCAAAAGCATCAGTGTGGGAGACTGTAGACTCTGTCTTCACTGCTGATATCTTGTCCCCAACTCTGCAGAGGACTTATTTGTTGGAAGAAAGAAAAACAGAAAAACTGTGTGTGTGTGTGTGTGTGTGTGTGTATGTGTGCGCGCGCAGTATATAAAAATCAAGTACAATGGGATCACCCTCCAAAAGAAAATACAAAAACAGGGTGGTACCATATATTCAAGCTAAGAAAACCAGATTGGTCTAAGGTGTGAGCTTCCTGGCAGACAAGGCAACAAGGGCCATAATACTCTGATTATAGGATTCCTATGACACATAGGATCCTAGGATACCAGGAGGAAGGAGGTAGGGACTCAGGGGCAGGGAGGGGTAGAAGCCAGTCACCTGGTGTCTCCAGTGTAACTGGCTCGGAGAACTCGCCTGCAACGGCCTTGTTACAGGCCTTCACCCGAAAGTTCATGTATTTCATGTCAAACTTGAGACCTGGAGGCAACAGAAGAAGTCAATGCTGTGTACTGAGTCTCCTCTACGACCCCACGCACACATTCTGAGGCGGACCATACAAAGAACGACCTCCAGCACTGGGAGGGGCTATTTGACTCTGCCTCCAACCTGGAGCAGCCAATCAGGATGCTTTATGACTCATTCTCAGTGGTTGGTTCAGAGACAGGCATATGACCCAAGCTGGCCAATCAGAATCAGCCCTGGAACTTTGTTACTGCCTCAAGCAGAGTAGCTGTTCCTCTGGGCTGGCCAGCTAGGAGCCCCAGGAGAAATTTTTCTGGCACGTTTTGTAAGGCTCTTTGATTATATACTCTTTATTTTCTTTTTGCGCGGTGCTGGGGACGGAAACCAGGGCCTCACGCATGCTAGGCAAGCACTCACCACTGAGCTACATTCTCCAGTCTTTGGATACCCACTTTCTAAGCATCCCACCCTCCTACTCTAAAATCTTCCATTCCTCCTTTTCCTCAGTCCTCTCACCCCTTCCTCACACGCAAGCTTGGCATCTAGCCTTTGAGCGCTTACGCGGCTGTTCCCTCCATCTGAAAAGCTGTTCTCCCAGCCTTTCTTTCCAGCCTTGGCCCAGCCCAGACTGCCTCCCGATCTTTTTTTTTTTTTTTTTTTTTGTGGTATTGGGGTTTGAACTTAGGGCCTACACCTTGAGCCACTCCACCAGCCCTTGGTGATGAATTTTTTCGAGATAGGGTCTTAAAAACTATTTGTCCGGGCTGGCTTCGAACCACAATCCCTCTGGTCTCTGCCTCCTGAGTAGCTAGGATTACAGGCTGAGCCACTGGCACCTGGCTGCCTCCCCACTCTTTCCAAGTTCCCTTCCTCTGCAAGGTCAGCTGGGCACTTGGCAACACCCACCCAATGCCACAGGCCAAGACAACCACCCAGGGAAGTCAGTTCCAGAAATGTGATTGGGTGATACACATTCTTGCCTCAGTTTCTTCCTGTGCAAACTAGGGATCACACACCCAGCAGTGAGCAGGCTTCAGAATGAGATGAGCCCTGAATCCAACCCGAACCGTCTGTCTTTCTGAGCAATCAGCAAAACAGTAGGCAGACTTAACGGACACTGAGGCGACTTGCATTCAGGGAGGACCACTCAGCTGCCTCCTGGCACCGGGGGTGTGGTGTCACTCGGAAGTTTGTAAGGGCAGGAGGGGGTGGGTAT